AAAAAAAAAAAAAAAAAAAAAAAACTTAACGTATCTTGCTGCTATTTAAAATCATTACAATAGGTCTAGCGCCTGTAGCACAGCGGTTACGACACCAGCCACATACACTGAGGGTGGTAGGTTCAAACTTGGCCCGGGCCAGCTAAACAACTGCAACAAAAAAATAGCCTGGCAGTTATTTGGGAGGCTGAGGTAAGAGCATCGCTTAAGCCCAAGAGTTTGAGGTTGCTGTGAGCTGTGACGCCACAGCACTCTACTGGGGGTGACAAAGATAAATAAGTAAATAATGATTGACTGATTGAATGAAATAGGGTCTTGCTCTATTGCCCAGGCTGAAGCACAACAGCATGAGCATAGCTCACTATAACCTCAAATTGTTTTGTTTTTGGTTTTTGGTTTTTTTTTTTGAGACAGTCTCATTCTGTCATTCTCGGTAGAGTGCTGTGGCCTCATAGCTCACAGCAACCTCAAACTCTTGGGCTCAAGCACTCCTCTTGCCTGAGCCTCCATACTAGCTGGGACTATAGGTACCTGCCACAATACCAGGCTATTTTTAGAGATAGGGTCTCACTCGTGGTCAAGCTGGTCTCAAACCTGTGAGCTTAAGCAATCCACCTGCCTCAGCCTCCCAGAGTGCTAGGATTATAGGTGTGAGCCACCACACCCAGCCTATAACCTCATATTCTTGGGCTCAAGCAGTCCCCCCACCTCAGCCTCTCTAATAGCTAAGATTACAGGCACACATGACCATGCCGGGCTAATATTCTTTAATTTCTTATAGAGACAGGGTCTCCCTATGTTACCCAGGCTGGTCTCCAACTCATGGCTTCAAGCAATCCTCCAGCCTCAGCCTGCCAAAGTGCTGGGATTATAGGCACAAGCCACCAAGTCTAGCCCACTTTTTCCCTTTAGAGCCTCCCCAACTAGCCGACTGAATCCCCTGTTCTCAAGTCCCTACCCCCAGACCTGCTATAGTTCTCCTCAGGACCCCTCTCTTCTGCATCAGCCTCATCAGTCCTGTCATAGGTCAGGAGGTCTGCAGGCACATCATGAATCTGGACACTAGGTGCATGGTTCAGCATCTTCAGGTTTTCAAAGATTGTCTGGCGGATCTGGTCCAGATACTAGTTGGAGATGAGGAATAGAGTGAGTAGCTCTCAGTGATTCCCAGTGCACCCACCATTCTAGCTGTCTTCTACCCCTACTGTCCTGGTTTTAATCTTAGTGGTATTTCTAGCTGAGGTCCCCCAATAAAATACTGTCTCTTCCCCAAAACCCCAACTGGCTTTACCTTAACTGGACTGTTTTCTAGGTAGTAACAGTGACAATAATGGCCTAGAATTTTCTTCTCTTTGATTTCTCCTATTTCCCATATCCTGGACCTTTCCTGGGCTCCCCCATCCTTGTACTCAGCTTCTCTGAGCTGCTGACCTGGCGTGAGTTCTGATTCTCGATGCGAGTGCTGACATCTGGATGGAGCGTGAAGTCTGGGGCAAAGTATTCGAAGTATTCTTGGGGAGGAGAGAAGATGAGGAGGAGAAAGTATGGCTCAGACCAAGACAGGCAGGTCCCAAGACTTCCCAATCTCTTTTCTTCCCATCCAGACCCCTTACATAGTAACTGCCCAATCCTTTCCCTGCTATGAGCCCAGGAGTTTAGTTTGCAGAGCTCTGAGAGTATAAAATTTCCATTTGCCTTCAAACCAGGTTTTGGAGTCTGGTGAGACAGACTTCCTATTGTGGGAGTACGACGGGGTGGTCCTTACCACTATAGGGAAGCTCCTCACTAATGGCCTCTTCTACCAGCAGTGATGTCTCATATGTCCTAAAACCAACCAGGAGAAGGGGGACAGGTTGACCAAGGGTTACAGGGCCCATCTGGCCATATCTCAGGGAGCCACTATATCATATTGGACAACACAGAAGGAGGAAATAGGAGGGTGCTCACCAGCAGCGAGCAACATTTCGGACAGTATAACCACCACCACCCAGCACCAGTAGAGGGATATTGAAGCTCTTGACATATTCAACACATTCCCTGTTAAAAAACAACCAAACAAACAAAAACAGAGACATGGTTAGAAGAAATTACACATCTTTTTGAATTGCCTAGAAAGGGGCACAATAGAATTATAATGTTCTCTATCTTGATCTGGGTGGTGAAATTCATTGTTATATACCCTTAAGACTTGTGTATACTTTATAATACATATGTTGTGTCTCAATAAAAATTTTAAAACAACATACACTCCCACCTCTGTCCTCAACTTCCTCCCCGGTACCCTGCCTATTAATCAACTGCTCTCATCAATGCACCAGCAAGTTCTGTCATTTCTAGCCTTCAAAATATAATTCAAACTATGGAACACTGTTCAAGGTGACATTTCTAGTTCAAGTACAATTTGTAGCTTTTTTTTTTTTTTTTTAGACAGAGCCTCAAGCTATCCCCCTGGGTAGAGTGCCATGGCATCACAGCTCACAGCAACCTCTAACTCCTGGGCTCAAGCGAGTCTCCTGCCTCCGCCTCCCAAGTAGCTGGGACTACAGGCGCCCGCCACAACGCCCAGCCCTTTTTTGGTTGCAGCCATCATTGTTGTTTGGCGGGCCCGGGCTGGGGATTGGAACCCGCCACCTTAGGTGTATGTGGCTGGCGCCTTAGCTGCTTGAGCCACAGGCGCCGAGCCACTATTTTTGATTTGTAACAAGAGGTGAGCACCATTCCCCAACTACCTCCCCCTCTCTGCCACATACTAAGGTCCAATGCCAACTGAAAACCTAGGAGAAAGGAAGAAGAGCAAGTCTCACCCATGTCCTCGGATGCTGAGGTTGAAACAGCCCAATCGATCACAGCCCAGAGAGTCAGCTCCACACTGCAAAAACCAAAACCCCAGCCGCAGTAAGATAACTGATCAGAACATCATAGATGTCCTTCACTTCCCTTCTCCCACTAACCAAGGGAAGCTCCTCTTCCCTGGTTTCTTCCCTCAAGCCCACGCAGAGCACTCCTGCAGAGGCACTGACAGTATTACCTGGAGCACAATGCACGTGGGTTGGTAGAAGTCCACCACCTGATTGATAACTGGCTGGAAAAGGTGCTTGTAACCTGGGAGAGGGCCAAAGATGGGCACCTGGCACCCCAAGGGGATGGGGAGACAGGGAACAAAAAGGAAAAAGGGGTTGAGAGAGCATGTAGCCCAGGAAAGCGGCAACCCAAAGAACCAAACCATTGGTTCCAAATTTCTGGAGGGTCCCCAACTACTTTGAATGACTGATGAAAGTCAATGATCCTTTTCCCAGAAAAATGCACATACACACGATATGTTGCATACAATTTCCAGGGCTTCATGGTCCTTCTGAAGGCCATTCATCCTTAAGGACACCTGGCCCAACAGTAGACAATACCAGGCAGAAGAGATTAATTCAAGAGAGAAAGAAGGGGCAGAGTGAGCAGGTCAGGAAGAAAACTTCATTACTTACTCTGGTCATCAATGCCGTCTCGCAGGGGCACATTGAGACAGTAGTAGCGGCCACTCTCTGCTCCAACTTCATACATGTCACCTGTAGGAAAATGAGGGGTGGTGACCCTGCCTGGGAAGCATCTTCAACCTCAACCTGCACTTTGTGGGCTCCTCACCCCATCAACAAACCACTACTACAAACTCCCTAGAGCCACTAAGTCTCTTACAGTTTGCAGTCAATCAACAAATAGTTTTTGAGGCCTATTCTGAGCCAACCTGAGTACGAGGCACTGGGGATGTATCAGTAAACATAATTAATGAAATTAATGAAATCCACCAATCTTATATTCTTAGGGGGTAGGCATGATGAGGAGGGAAACAGTAAACAAAATAAAACCCCACAATAAATGCAAAGTGTGCTTTGAGAGAAACAAATAGGGTAAGGGAATAGAGTAATGGGAAAGGAGGGAATCATGGTAACTGGGGTGTTCCGGAAGGGCTTCTTTGAGGAGGGAACATCTGAGTTAAAAGCAGAAGGCTAGGGCGGCACCTGTGGCTCAAAGGAGGAGGGCGCCAGCCCCATATACCGGAGGTGGCGGGTTCAAACCCAACCCCGGCCAAAAACTGCAAAAAAAAGCAGAAGGCTGAGAAGGAGGCAGTCAGAGTAAAGAGGTAAAGGGTGCAAAAGGGACAGTAACCCCTAATCACATACCTGTACCAGGGAAGAAGTAATTTCCATACTTGTGGAAGGACACTGTCATGACCCGGTCAGTGAGGTAGAAGGCTTCCTGAACTCCGTCACCATGGTGGATGTCGATATCGATGTAGAGCACCCGAGGGTGGTATCTGGGGTGAGGGAAAAGTCAGGGTCTGAGGTAGAGGTGAATTCCCTGACCCATTCCTCCCAAACACCAGGTCTAGAATTATAGGGAGTCTGGTTCTTGCTGGGTTCATGCCTATAATCCTAGCACTCTGGGAGGCTGCGATGAGTACATTGCTTGAGCTTAGGAGTTCAATATCAGCCTGAGCAAGAATGAGAGCTCATCTCTAAGAAACAAATAGCAGCTTGGCACCTGTAGCTCAGCGGCTAGAGCACCAGCCACATACACTGGAGCTGGCAGGTTCGAATCCAATCTGGCTCTGCCAAACAACAATGACAACTATAACCAAAAAATAGCCAGGCACTGTGGCAGGTGCCCGTAGTCCCAGTTATTTGGAAGGCTGAGGCAAAAGAATCACTACAGCCCAAGAGTTTAAGGTTGCTGTGAGCTGTGATGCCACAGCACTCTACTGAGGGTGACATAGTAAGACTCTGTCTCAAAAAAATAAAATAAAATACAAAATAAATAGCTGGGCATTGCAGCAGGTGCCTGAAGTCCCAACTACTCAGGAGGCTAAGGCAAGAGGATCACTTGAGCCCAAGAATTTGAGGTTGCTATGAACTATGAGGAGTGACACTATCAGGAGTGACAAAGTGGGACAAAGAGGGACACATAGAGAAGGCTAAAATGTGAGCAGGCAAAAAGGAATCTAAAGAAGAAAAAAGTAAGAGGCAGCCTGAGTAGAGCATCAAGAACTTGAGAGAAGCTAGAGGGGGAGCAGAGAGGTTAGGGTCAGTGCCAGAGCCCAGTTTGAGGGACCTCCTCAGCCAAGAGTCTTACTCATGTCCCAGTCTTCTGCCAGGCTACTTACTTGAGCAGCTCCAGGATGCCAATCACAATGTCATTAACATAGCAGAAGCCAGAAGCCTATGGTGAGACAGCAGTCTTAACAAAGAGGAAACACTCCACTGCCCAGCTGCACCCACCATCATCCTGACTACCTACCCGGGGGTAGCCACTGTCTTCCCCCATCACCTCCTCACTCACCTCAAACTTCTTGGCATGGTGCAGACCGCCAGCCCAGTTAATGGCAATATCACAGATCTGAAAAACAAACACCAACTCACAGTCCATCTCCTGCCCATTCCCAAAGCTAAAAGCCCAAGGTCAGGTCAAGGCCTCGAGTGCAGGAACCCACAGGAAAAGGGAAACAAGACTCGCAACTATGTCACCTTGTTGTTCAGCTGGGTTGCTCCTTGCAGAGATGCGCCAGTGTAACGGGAGCAGAACTCAAAGAGTCCGGGAAACACTGGGCTGCCGAGAAGAAGAAACCTCGTTGGAACCCTCCTGTCTCTGTCTAGCCCCTTCCTAAACATCCTTTCCCACCCCAAACTCCTTTAATCTTCATTTTTCAATAATCCTGTCCCCCCTTCCTAGATACCTGAGCTATCTGAAAATTTATTCAACAAATATTTTTAACCAAACCATGTACTAAGCCCTGTACAAGGCACTGGGAAGGAAAGAAGCATTTAACTCTGTCAGGGAATTTGCATCCTAACTGGGGAGAGAAGCAAGCAGGCACTTGAGTATATACAGAAAAAATAAGGCGAAAGAAAACATGAGCTCTGTTGTTCTTAAAAGGCTTTTATGTACATATATTGTTACATAATGTTCAATAATATTCTTTAGAGTTATACATCTTAAAGAAAGACTTGTATACCTATATATGAGAAACAGTAACATTGAGATGAGCCAGGGAAAGCCATAGCATGCTATTGGCACCTGATAAGCCTTTAATAAGTGTTAGCTATAATTATTACTATTTTATTCTTTATGAAAGGGAGAGGCATGAAGCCAGACACAAAAGACTACTTACTGGCTCGGCGCCT